ATATATATATATATATATATATATATATATATATATATATTAAAGCAAAAACATGCATATAGTACGGAGGGAATAGGATTAAAAAACATCATGTGTATATAAGTATTTGTGAGTTATATAACACTTTTGTTCATTTTCTTTGCAGACATTTTGAACTTCAGTTTTCTCGCCTTTCTTTTTTTTATTTGAAGGTGACCTTTATGACATGTCCCTTAAAAAGAAGTCTGTCGAAAATTGATATGTACAAATAAATACACCAACGCCATGGAACAGTGTAAATGCACAAACACACACCGTGACACGTCAAACAGAACAGCAGCTAGATCATGGAAACACGATGAGAAGATAAAAAAGTCGCATTCAGTCTCTTTCGTAGTTTACAACATCTCTTTACGTTTAAAAATTAGTGCGGGTGATCGTTTGGTTGTGTATGTTGGATACGGGCACATAACTGGAGTGGTCTGCTATACAATGCGGGTATGCTTTCAGTTATGGTAGAACTACTGATTTAGCTGATTTTAATCACTTATCAATTCATTCTTTTCCAACAAAACATTTGTAATGAGTGTCCGAGACAATGACATTTACTTGTTGACAAAAAACATGCACCGAGATTTCTCCTATTGTCTCGAAATTAAGTCCCTTTTTTTATAATTTCTTGCGCCTTTTCTGTCAAAGGTAGACATACATATATACGTATGTTTTGCTACGAACCTATGTAAGCATAGTGCTTAAAACGCTTTATAGTAAAATCATTTAAATAATAACACTCTTTGATACCTTGTGGCCCATTTGGTCACAGGCATTTTTCAATCATTTCTTTTATTTTGACCATCCACGACATTTTCATTACACGATGTGATGCAATCTACACGCACTTCAGTTTTTTCACAGTACAACGATTTTTGTCTTCCTGTCGGTTTTCTTTCAGATCTGACTATATTACAACCGCTATTATAACCTTTCAAAGACCGGACCCGGGCATAATGTTCTTCAGTCTATTGACAACAGGATTAACTGTCATGGTTATGATTGACAGTTGTTCCACACTGGTTATACGGGATAATAAGGTATACAGCGTAACATATACAGCGACGCTTGTCTGAGAATGATGATATTTGTGTTTGCGGTGTACATTATGACATGCAAAAATATGTTGCTTCTATGACACGCATTCTCTGTCATGATACGTGTTAACAGCTGTGTCATGTAAACACAGTGTAAATGAAATTTCAATTTTAAAACATAATAGATTAAAATGGAATTTCTCTCCACGCAATGCAAAAGATGCTCGGTGTGTATAGTCTTGTTAAGTATGTTATTTGATCTGGTAAACCAACCACAAATCGTATGACATGCAGTTACCCGGTAAATAATGTGATTGTAAGTTTACGTCTCGTTTAGGTCGCTGGCGATGTAGATAGGCCACGTGACATATGGGCAGTCAAATGGAGAGAACATATTGAGCGTATGGACGTTAACGGTGATGGAAAT